TCCATCACTGATAATTCTTCTGATAAATCATCTCTCTGTTCCATCACTGATAATTCTTCTGATAAAACATCTCTCTGCTCCACCCTAACCTCGCCGTCTCTGTCACTGTCAACAGGTCCTCTTGTTTTGATGATGACATACCCCCGTCACTTTTGTACAAGATCTTTTTGCCCAGTTCTGTATTTCCTAATATCATTATGTATCACCTACATGTATTTCTGATGGAAATGTGAACACATGTCTGCCAGCTTTAAGGATAAATGTGATATTGTTTCCTCTGTCGTTCCGGTGTTGTGTGTAACTGCAACAGACAAGAGGAAGAAACTTTTGGTATTTCTTCTCCGATCTTTTTGGAAAAAAAAACAATATCAATTTCTGTTCTGTACAAAAGCTTGCAATTTCACCTAATGTGTATAATGAAAAACAATGATCTTGAAAGAAAGGATCCTGAATGATAAAAACAATCTGTACTTCCCGTCGTCATAATTCATGGACTCTCAAACGTTGTGCTAACGAGAACTGGGTACAGGAGATGTTTTATCTTACATAGTGCGAGGTCAGTGAAGAGTTTTTAACAACAAACTTTTGTTCCAGATTTGACTCCAGCACACCTGTTGATTTCGAGGAAAACACAGAGAAACTGTATCGTCTGCTGGAAGAAGCGGACTGGCCGGTGAGAGAACAGGACGTGAGTCTACTGGCCCGGGAGATCGCTCGGGCCCAGAAGTTCCTCGGACAGTCACAAGCTCTGCGTAAAGCTGCCGCTGGTGAAGGTGATGATGATGATGATGAGGAGGATGAAGAAGATGATGATGAGCGAGACGACAAAAGTGACCAAGGAAAAGAAGAAGATAATGAACCACCAGTTTCCAGTGCAAGGTCAAACTCGCCAAGGTCAAATAAATCCGAGGCTAGCCCGACCCGATCTGAGGCAGGTTCCAAAGACGATGAGGTTAGTCTGCGGCGAGAGTAGAGAGGGAGGGGAGGATGTCCTGTTGTGTATGTCCTGTTGTGTATGTCCTCTGATGTCCTGTTGTATATGAGCATGTCCTGTTGTGTATGTCCTGTTGTGTATGTCCTGTTGTGTATGTCCTCTGATGTCCTGTTGTATATGAGCATGTCCTGTTGTGTATGTCCTGTTGTGTATGTCCTGTTGTGTATGTCCTCTGATGTCCTGT